CAGGGGAGAGAGAGAGAGAAATTATTGGAGAATGACCAATCAGCCCATATCAGAATTTTATAACCCCTATAGTACAGTACAGGGAAATGCATCTGACCGTAAATTGATGTCAAATTTACGGGCATGATGTAATTTACAAGCGGAGACTGGGGGATGGAATTCAGAATTCCGTACGTCTCCGTAATTATTTTAATAAGGGCAACTTTTTGCCCTCAATATTAATAAAAGGTTTTTTTTTTTATAAAATAAAAGAACTTTTTTAGAAAAATATCAAGTGGTACTGTTTATCATCTTCCTCTGCCTTCCTTTGTATTCATGCCAGCCATTTCAACGGGTCAATAGGTCCCGACAATCCATCCCATGTGCCGGAGGTTTCTAAAGTCGAAAATACGATGGGCTCTATGCAGACTGGCTCTTCTAGCAGAAAAAAATAGAGCAGCTCCTTGAAAGGGCTGGCAAAAGGATCCCCGATGAAGTTAGGTTCGTCGATGGAGTTTTGTTGCAGGGAATGAAGCCAATGATGGAGTTTCCTTGAAAGGGAGTTTTGTCAAAAAGCAAAGCGAATGATGGGTAGTTCGAGTCGCCTGGCTAAAGAACTCGATTAGTTGGAGGACAAGTGAAACTCCGCCGAGCTACGACAGCCATTTGAGATGAAATATAGTTCAAACTGCACAGGTAGTTCAGGTAGTCCGCAGTGCCGAGATCATAAATTAGCCCCGGATTGGATGCTCTCTCGGGGTTGACATGTCGTCTTGATCCAAATGCAAAAGGTGTTGCTAAATCTGAAGAGGAAGAAGAACCAGCAGCATCATCTCTGATTGGAGTAAATTTGTTGTTTAGCATATAAGCTGTTGTCATTAGAGCTCATTTGATCGTTGAGGGAGACCAGTCTCTGTGTACAGATTTAAGGAGGGCAGCCAGGTCACTCACATGTGGACATGATGACATGGATGTCCCTGAGATTATGTTGAATTCAACACTTCTTTTATCACTCTTCAGCCGAGTGAAGCTCACTGTAGGAGGCCAGGCAGCCAATATATTTATCCCTGGTGCCGTAACGTCTGGCATAGGGTTGGGTCCTTTTGCCAGCCCTTCTCTACTTCTTTTGCTGGAAGAACCAGTCTCGCGTAGGTCGGGACCTGTTAATCCGTTGAAACGGCTGGCATGAATATAAAAGAAGGCAGATGAAGACGATGAACAGTATCATTACCCTTTTTTTATATTTTTCTAAAAAAAATTATCTTATTTTAATTATTTTATAATAAGAATATTTTTTATTGATATTAAGGACAAAAAGTTGTCCTTATCTGCTAAAAACCCAATTTAGAAATCTGCATACTTTTCCGAATCTTTTCAAAGCTCTGAAGATCATCTGACGGTCGGTTATTGGACGCTCGTTAATAAATGGCCAAGAGGAAGCAAAAGTCTGAGGAGTAGAAGTTCGGAGGACACATCATGCGATATGATTGGATAGTTGGATTAATATTGGCGCAGTGTTATACCAAGCTGACGTGAGTGAAAGGAACAACCGATTCACACTAATCCAAGAGATCTAAAGACCAATAGGAAGCATACATGCAATCTAAACAAATTTTGTTTTCTTGTTCCGAAATAACAGATCCGTTTGCTCTCGCTTTTTATCTTTTATCTCGACCATTCAAATATGCAAGTGCAAAGTCTTATCTATATATCTCCAAAGGGAATAATGAGGGGTGCAAGCCACTTATTTCCTTTTTTTTATTAAAAATTAATTATTCCTCGCTTTATTTTAAATTATCTTTATTGACGAAGTAAAAAATGGTCCTACCAATAAATGAGGCATACAACTTATTCACTCCTTCAGGTTTGATGAGGTGGTTCAGATCGAGTTCAGCATATGTTGTGAGTCGAGTTTTAGTGCCGAGCTATGAGGCTGAGCTGGGGGGTCCAAGGTAAGAGCTGAAAAGGAAGAGAGGTTAGAGTGTTTGGGTATATTTTTACCCAAGGGGACACTCGGATGCTTAAGTTAGTGACTAATCCTTTGTGAGAGAGGATATGAGAGAGTGAGAGTTTATGTGTGCATACCTTTTAGAGTGGTCATGAGGTATTTTTATAACTACTTGAGGTTTAGGTGCTATCTGGTAATGTCTTTGAGCCTTGTACGGAGTTGTTTCCTAAATCCTGGGGTATACCGGTTAGTTATTTGCGAGATTCATGCGGCGGTTACAAGTTGCTTGCTGGTCTGGGGGCGGTCAATTCGGTGGACCGTTCTCTATGCTCCTATTATAACGCTTATGTGGGYGTTGTTCGCGGGGCTGTTTCGGGCGAGCTGGGGGCTGACGGAGGATCGAGCTCGCTCCAACTCGGTCGCGTATTTGATGCTGACTGCCACGTGTTACTCCAGCGAGCTGTTCTATTGTGTTGAACGTTGTGGGCCAAGCTTGCTCTAGCTCGGCTTCGTACCTGATATTGACTGCTGCATGTCGAGCCGGTGAGTTGTCTTGCTGAGTGGGACGCTGCGTTACTAACAACATCCACGTGTCCATCATCAAATGGGTTAACCAAAATGCCCATCATCAATAGCCCCACTCTTGAGTCGCTATTTAGTAGACGAAGAGAGTAGAGGTTTTTTTTTTTTTTACCCTGGTTCTTTTTCTCCTGTAGGCGAACTCTTATGGCCAGGCTTTGCTGGATCGTGCCTATTCCTGTCAAAAGGAGCGAGTTGGCCTGTAGGTCAACGTCGGCTTGCTCAACGCTGAGTGCAGAAGCTCAGGTTGGATTCAAAGGGGGAGAGTGGAGAGCGCCAACGTTTGCAACATGAGCTGTCCGAGGCGAGGTCGAGGTGTTCTCAAAAGGAGTGTCTAGGGGCTGAGCGAGCTAGGGTGGAGGCGGTGGCTTCTTACCTGAAGTCTCCTGAGTATGAAAATCAACAGGCACTGGACGGTGTTCCTTCAATGAAGAAGGGCTTCAAGTTGTGTCGCCGCTATCTCAAGTCTCTCTACCCCAATATTGATGTCAGCTCCATCACTTCTCGAAGAGTGCCACCTGAACTTGTCAGCTGGGTGGATGAAGAGCCCCCTAACCCCGAAGGAGGAGGAGGAGGAAAATGATGAAGAGGAGCTTGATGGGGGAGAGGGTGAAGAGGCTTATGACGGTGTTGATGGTGATGAGTAGCCTACTTCTCAGCTCGGCTGAGGGATCTGTTGTGTTGTCTGATGGTTCTTCTCTATTGTTTTTTGGGGCTTTTCAAGCTCCTATCAAGATTTTGGGGGCCTGCATGCTCCACATTTGGCTAAAGAAGTTTTTTTTTTGTAGTAAAGAAATCTTGTTTTTTTTGATATTCCATGTATGTCAATTCTACGCCATTCAATCGCGTCGTATTGTTCCGAGTTCTTGTGCGACCTGCCGAGTTGTTTTTTGGTACGGGCGAGCTATTTGGATCCTTGTTCATGCGTAATATCATCATAGATTATCTATGTTCCAGGCTCGAGGAACTTTTTTCCCTTCGTGTGTCTCGAGCTCATATGTGTTTCCACCGAAAACTTTAGAAACCCTCTAGGGTCCTTCCCAATTCGGACCGAGCTTCCCTACTCCAAGGCTCAGGTGCCATGATTTTCTTGAGCACTAGGTCGCCGGTCCTGAAATTTTGTTTCCTGACTTTAGCATTATAGTATTGCGTAACACGTTGTTGGTACGCTGCAGTCCGAATGTAGACGAGTTTTCTTGTTTCTTCTAGTAGGTAGAGGTTAGCTCACAGCTCTTTCCCATTTGTTCCTTCGACGTACGTTTCAGATCGCAAGGTTGGAATTTATAATTCTGTCGGTATTATGGCATCGGTCCCATAAGTCAGGTTAAAGGGTGTTTTACCGGTTGTCGTTTTGACAGTGGTCTTGTAGTCCCATAGAACACTGGGTAGCTCGTCTACCCATAGTCCTTTGGCTTGAGATAACCAAGCTTTGAGTCCTTGTAGTTTCGCTCTATTGGTGACTTCGGCTTGCTCATTAGCTTGGGTATATGCCATCGATGTGAGTCTTTGTTCTATTCCCATATGTTCGCACCAGTCTTGAAATTTAATGTCTTCAAACTGTTTTCCATTGTCGGATATTAACACTCTTGGCAGGCTGAACCTGCACACAATGTTTCGCTATAAAAAATTTTGGACGCTGCAAGCTGTTATTGTCACTAGGGGTTCTGCTTCCACCCACTTAGTGAAGTAATTGACAACTACCACCAAAAACGTTTTTTGTCCCTTGACCGATGGGAAGGGCCCCAATAGATCTATGCCCCACTACGCAAATGGCCATGGGCTGGTTAAGTATCTTAGGTCAGTAGCGGGTTGATGTAGGATGTTCACATGCTATTGGCACTGATCACAGCGTTGGACCAACTCGGTTGCGTCTACTTTCATGGTGGGCCAGTAGTATTCTTGTTGTAGGGCTTTTTGAGTGAGGACCCTACCCCCTTTGGTGTCATCTATAAAGGCCCTCGTGGATTTCTCGTAGAACTTGATTTGCCTCATCTTGCCTCAGACATCGTAAGTAGGGCATCGTGAAGGATCTTTTGTAGAGTAGCTCGCCTACTATCACCTGTCGCTCTACCTGGCGAGCTGCATTTCTTTCCGCTGGTAGCACACCGTGTTTCAGGTAATTGTAGAGTGGGTCAATCCAACTTGGCTCAGTGGTAGTGATATTGGCGACCTCCTCACTCGCTTTTTCTATTGAGGGTCATGATAGTTCTTTGATTTAGATAGTTCATTTTGCTGAGTCCAACGTGCTCGCTAATTTGGAGAGAGCATCAACCTTTGTATTCTTTGATCTCGGGATTTTTTGGAGATACTATGACTTGAACACTGGTAGGAGTTCTCTAACTTTGGCGAGGTATGCCATCATGGAGGAGTCTCGAGCCTCATAATTCCCATTTACCTGGTTTACGACGAGCTGTGAGTCTCTACATATCACCATGTGTTTGGCTCCTACTTCCTTTGCTAATGCCAATCCTACTAGTAGGGCTTTGTATTTAGCTTCATTTTTTTATGCTTGGAATAGAAACCGGAGCGCATATTCCAGCTTTGTTCCATATGGTCCGTATAGTATTAACCCAGCTCCGCTTTTGCCCCGATGAGACGAACCGTCCACGTGAAGTATCTAGGGCTCCTCGTCCCAGCTCGCTTTCTCGCGAGGTGGGGATGTCATGCTAGATAAGGCTTCCGTTGTTAGCACCATCTGCTCGGTCGATGGCGAGCTAAAAGTACACTCGACAATAAAATCTGCCAGGACCTGTGCTTTGATCGTTGTGTGCGGCTCGAATCGGATATCATATTCACTGAACTCGATTGCCCATTTGGTGAGTCTTCCTGAGATCTTAGGCTTCAAGAGAATTTGCTTTAGCGGTTGGTCCATTAGCACCACTATGGAGTGTACTTGGAAGTTGGGTCTCAACTTCCGGGCAGCTAATACTAAGGCGAAGGTGAGCTTCTCAATGTTTGGATACCTCGTTTCGGCGGCTTGAAGTACTTTGCTAACATAATATATGGGTAGTTGTGTTCTATCTACATCTCTGACAAGGACTGAGCTTACCACTTCATCACTTGTAGAGAGGTAAGAGTTTGAGCTCGTCTCTCGCCTCTGGCCTGGTCAGTAGAGGGGGTGAGCTGAGGTATTGCTTCAATTCGTCGAAGACGAGCTGACATTCCTTGGTTCACTCGAAGTCTTGGTTCTATTTTATGGCCTTAAAGAAGGGAAGACACCTCCCAGCTGACTTGGACATAAACCGGTTCAGGGTGTCTATTTGTCTTGTTAGTCTTTGGGTTTCCTTAACCGTCTTGGGTGGTTTCGTATCTGAGATCACTTGGATTTTTTCCGGGTTGGCCTCTATGCCTTTCTAGCTGACGATGTAGCCCAGGAACTTTCCTGAGGTCACACCAAAAGCACACTTGTTTGGGTTTAATTTTAGGTTATGTTTTCGCAAAATTTCAAATACAAGATTTAAGTCGGAAACCAATTCTTTTGAAAACATAATCTTTACAACCATATCATCCACATAGCATTCTACTTTATTACTAATTAACTTTGAAAAAACACAATTCACTAATCGTTGGTAGGTCGCTCTAGCATTCTTTAAACCGAATGGCATGACCTTGTAACAGTATAGGCCTATCTCGGTAGTAAATGCAATCTTCTCCCGATCTTCAGGGTCCATCAGGATCTGATTGTATCCCGAATAGGCATCCATGAAGCTGAGCAGTTCGAATCCTGAGGTCGCGTCCACCAAGCGGTCTATGCTAGGTAGGGGCAAGTTGTCTTTTGGGCAGGCGCGGTTTAGGTCCGTAAAATCTATACACATCCGCCACTTTCCGTTTGCTTTTTTCATTAAGACTGGGTTCGCTACCCAGCTCAGGTATTGGACCTCTTCTATGAAGTTTGCAGCTAACAACTTTCCTACTTCTTCATTTACTATTTCCCACCTTTCCGGGGCAAGGTTTCTCTTCCTTTGTTGGACTGGTCTAACTGTAGGGTCCACATTAAGTTTATAAGTTATTAGTTTAGGGTCAATTCTAGGCATTACAGTTGCCGACCAGGCAAAAACATCTAGATTTTTTAATAAAAAACTTACCAATTTGGACCGCTGGGGATCTTTTAGGTGAGCTCCTATCCGTAGCATTTCTTTGGGTCGGTTTTAGAGACTTGTATTGCCACCGTGTCTTTGGTTGGGCGAGCTCTTTCCTCAGTGTTTTCTGGTGGTGGGTTCAGGTCGATGTCGACTATCATCTTCCCTTTAGCTTTCAATGAGTCTACGTAGCACTTCCGAGATTCTATTTGATCACCACGTAGCACTCCTACCTCGGTGTCTGTTGGAAATTTTAATGCTAAGTGGTATGTGGATACTACAGCTCGCAATGCATGTAGAATTGGTCGTCCCAAGATTGCATTATAAGGTGATGATGCCGCTACTACTAAGAAATTATGTTCCAGGCGAACTGTGTGGGGTGGGGAGCCGGCTTCAATCGGTAACCTAATCTTACCAATCGAGCGAACTACTTCCCCGCTGAATCCTACCAAAGGTATATTAGCAGGCTGCAGGTCAGCCTTTCTCAACTCCTTTCTCTTAAAGGCCTCAGCGAATAAGATGTCATCCGAGCTGCCTGAATCTACCAAAATCCTTTTTACCTTGAAATCATTGATTAGCAATTTTACCACCAGTGCATCATCATGAGGGTATTGGATCCCCCGCATGTCATCATCATAAAATAAATGACCTCTTCCGTTCTGGGACGTTTGTGGGGCTGGTCATTCTCCTATTCCAGCTTACATACCGCGTTTCTCCCAGCAGATGAGGTGTATCCTGCTATAATGGGTCCCCTTGTGATTACGTTGATTGTCCCCTAACCTATTTCTATAGGGCCTATGAAGTTCTAGTTGGTGGTTCTTGCTGCCTACTGTTCTACGGTGCTTCCTTATTGGCTTCTATTCCTTGGATCCACTCATCATTGATGAAGCGTTTCAAGTAGCCTCGCTTGATAAGGTCCTCGATTTCAATTTTCAGGTTCCAATAGTTCTCAGTGTCATGCCCGTAGTCTTTGTGGAAATGACAATACTTGTTTGGATTCCTGGTGTTGGAGTCTCCCCTCATCTTGGGAGGCCATTTCACGTAATCATTTGATTGGATATGCATGAGAATTTCCTTTTTGTGAGCATTCAGTGGTGTAAATATCTTGTTGTATGCGGGAGGTGTTTTTGGTCGTCGTCCTGCTCTTCTGTTCAGTGACATACTTTTTCAACGCGGCGAGCTGCTGCTGTTCCTTCTCCTTGGGGATTTGCTTTTATGAGGCGATCTACTCCTTCGCCTGGTTCAACTGGTGCTTACTTCTTCATCTGTTTGTTACCTTTTTCCTGTAATCTGAGTTTCCCCACCTACTGCTTCTTTCGTCCTAATGTATTCGTGGGCGATGGTGAGGAATTTTTCCATGGTAGCTAGAGGGTGGAGTTCTAGCTCCCATTTCAACCTTTTGTGCCTAACGCCTTTCTTGGCTGCTATCAACTGTACGGAGGAATCCAAATCAGGGATCTGCAACCTTTCCATGTTGAAACGCCGAATGTATTCCCTAAGTGGCTCTTTGGATTTCTGAATTATGTTGAACAAGCATGTAGCTGATTTAGAATGCGGCATGCTTGTGATGAATTGGTTGATGAAGAGTCAGGTGAATTGCTCTCAATTTTTTATGGACCTTGGAGTCAATCCTGAATACCATAACCAAGCTTCTTCTTTCAAAGTGGTGGGGAATGCTATGCACATACTAGCATCATTAGCTCCGTGAAAGAGCATTAAAGCTTGAAAGCTGTTAACATGCTCCACTGGATTGGACTTCCCTTGGTAAGATTCCAGGGTAGGTGCCGGGAAGTTATTAGGGCATGGAGCTTTGAGTATTTCCGGTGCAAGCAGGGTTTCCCTAGTTAGACCAGGTTGATCAGATAAGGAAATTATTCTCCCTGTTGTCGTGCTACCTTCTCTTGGTTATGCTTCATCCCCTGCCCGGGCGAGCCGTGTCTTTCTCCCTACACAATGCTTTTCCTTAGTAACCTTGGTGGAGCTCGCCGCATTAGATTCAGCTCGGGCCTCCGCTTGTCCTTGTTCATCCAGTGCCGCAACACCTTCTTCGTTTGGAACGTGGATCTGACTGCACACTTGAGATTGAGGCAAGCCTTCTTGATTCTGGTGGTTAGATGGGGGGTGTTATTGATTGTCGTAAAGCTGACCGCCCCTGGGTGCCGGTAGTTTAGTCATCACCGGGCGCTGAGGTTGACTCCGCTGTTGAGATTGCTGGTGGGGTTGCTGGGATTGCTGACGGAACTGTTGTTGAGGCTTCTGCTGGTGTGGCTACTGGGATTGCTGTTGTTGTTATCCAGTGATAAATACAAACTGATTTTCCCACGACTACATTTGTTCAGTCATGTTATTGACACATCGTACCAAGTGATTAAACTGTTGCATATCCACCGCTATAGGAGGTGTTGTTGGTTCCATGGATGGGGGAGGTATACTCACATTCTCTGCTTGCGGTAGTGGAACGTCGATTTGACTGATGGTGATGATTGGGATCTGGCATTGATGTTGTTGGTGGAGGGATTTCCTGAAAGTGCCATCTAAAGAGCTTTTTCTTAGTAAAATGAGAGGGATAAAAAGATGAATGAAAGGGAACACAGGCTTTTTGCTGCTTTTGCCATAGACGATGCCAATTGATGAAGCCAAAAATGGTCACACCAATAGATGAGGCACATAACCTGTTCACTCCCTTAGGTCTGATGAGGTGGCTCAAATCGGGTTTAGCCTGTGGTGTGAGTTGAACTTTAGTGCCGAGCTATGAGGCCAAGTTGGGGGTCCGAGCTAAGAGCTGAAAAGGAAGAGAAGTTAGAGTGCCTGGGTATATTTTGACCCGGGGGGCACTCCGATGCTTAAGTTAGTGATTGATCCTTTGTGAGAGAGGATATGAGAGAGTGAGAGTTTATGTGTGCATACCTTTTGGAGTGGTCCTGAGGTCTTTTTATAGCTACCTGAGGTTTAGATGCTGTCTGGTAATGTCTCTAAGCCTTGTACAGAGCTGTTTCCTAAATCCCAGGGTGTATTGGTCAGTTATTTGCTAGATCCATGCGGTAGTTATAGGTCACCTGCTGGTTTGGGGCGGTCAACTCGGTGGACCGTTCTCTGTGCTGCGGTTATAACGCTTACGCGGGCGTTGTTCGCGGGGCTGTTTCGGGCAAGCTGGGGGCTGATGGAGGATCAAGTTCGCCCTAGCTCGGCCGCGTATTTGATGCTGACTGCCACATGTTACTCCAGCGAGCTGTTCTATTGTGTCGGATGTTATGGGCTGACCTTGCTCTAGCTTGGCTTCGTACCTAATATTGACTGCTGCATGTCGAGCCAACGAGTTGTCTTGCTGAGTGGGATGTTGCGTTATTGACAGCATCCACGTGTCCATCATCAAGTGGGTTGACCAAAATGCCCCTCATCATTTATCTTTCCCTAATTTTTATTTATCTCTTAAATTATCTATAATTCTTATTTATCCTCTTCCTCACCTTTCATTGAGTTCATGGATGCATGAACCCACCAATAAAGAGTTACCACGTAGTATTTTATATTTTAGTTTTAATTAACAGACTTTCTATTGTTAGCAACTGGAATCCGGTTGAACTAGATTCAACCGTTTTAGTATATATAATAGATCTAAGTTTTCCTCATATTTTTATAATCTTAGGATTCAACAATTCCATTTATAAAATATCTAGTAAAATACCCCAAATTCCCTTAATCCTATTTGTAAAATATCCACAAATTAAATTATTTTTAAGTGATAGGGAATGGATGCCTTGCCTCAAACCCACCCCCCCACTGGGGATAAGGTGGGGATGGGGTAGAGGGACTGGGAGGAGTGCCCCATCCTGTCCATCACATGGGCCCCGCTAGTATTTTTTATTATTTTGTTTGTATTTATACTGTACACATTTGCATTTGCACTCTTTCTCAAGAGATCTGCTTKTATATTACTGCCGAGCAGGAAAAGAGAAATGGAGGATTTGCTGGCTGCTGTTCAAACTCGAGTCTAATTAGGTTGCCGCCCAATTGAAGAGAAATTAATGATTTATTGTAGTAGAAGAAGAAAAAGGAAGGAGAGGAAAAGTCGGGGGCTGTAGCTGAACATGGGGAGAAACGATCTGTTGCAAGTTGTCAAGTTGCGGCAGGGAGATGGGGGTAAAAGAATAAAAAAGAGAAAGAAGATGAAGAAGAAAGGAGAGGGGAGAGACCACAATGAACAGTTGATGAAGAAAATGAGGAAAGAGGGAGAGAGAGGGGGTGGAAACCTGAAACTCCATTGGAGCATTTCCAAATCTCTAGATATATTTTCTTAGATGCCCCAAGAGATGTTCTCTTGTCCAAATATCAATCACTGAGCTTCTGCATTGTGTTTTGCTGTTGAGGCTAAAGCGATAGATCCGTGCTCAATTAGGGGATGAAACAGGTTACCCCAATATGATGCTCAAGCACACAGAGGAACATGAATTCCAGAGATTTGAAATGTTAGTGCTTAGCAGCAATTGTAAGAAATGACTATCCTAATATTTTTCTGTAAATCATTTCCTTAGCGGAGGTTTGGTTCTCTTAATGCAAATTTAAACTATCAATGTGTTTCTCAATCAGAGGGTGCCAAAACCATACATGTTGATGAATACTACTTGGCTCCTGCATCAATAATATGGAATTTGAGGTTAAAAAGAAAAGCAGACAAAAATTCAAGTAATCCAATTTAAGTATGATAAAACAATTGAGTACCATCCTTACTCCATGGTAGTGAGAATTATCCTGTATTATCTCTCATGTGGTCTCAGTTATCCTATGCCATCTTGTTCTTGTTTCTTACAAACAATCTCCAGTAAATGAACCTCCATTCTAGGATTTTTTTCTGATAAGTAAATATTAAAAAATTCATTAAAAGGAAAAAACGAAATACAAATTGGGTAGGTGTTAAGGCAACTCCTACAAACATAACAACAAAAGAGAAACACCAATTCAGACAGACCATCCAAGTTACATATTTGTAATCCCAAGACCTTCCCCAAAAACTATCCCCTAGGTCCTTTACTTAATTAAGTTCTAGCACTACAGGGCCCAAACTGACAGAGTCTGTTGGTTATATAATCATTATAATTAGATTCTACCAAAATTATTATGAAAATACAAAGCACATTGACCAACTAGTGTCTGAAGTAGCTAGCAAGGAATCATCTGTAGAATGTAGAGAAGCAATTCTGCATTCAGATACGTGCTCAAAAGTCAAAACAAAATTTGGCCTGCAAGATGAATCCATCTATCCTCTTCAACTGAAATATGGTGGGAGGTATGGTCAAGAAGACTTGCAGGGGTGTCCCATTCTTATGGGGAAGAAAACATAATATGCAAATGTAAGTTGCATTGGAATTTGCAGATTAGACAGGGACTCTGTAAGATGGATCGACCATTTTCAAGATAAACAAGTTTCCTTTGTCTCCCCTTGAAACTCTGCACCAAATAACAAAAAAAGCAATTACAATTATGATAAAAATTAATTCACCACTTTAAGGAGAAAAGGAACTTGCTCACAAGCTAGAGCTCACCATAAACTATAAAACTTTGGAGTGAGTGAAGAAAGAACCTATGGAATTATGCTGATTAATTTTGTCATCTCAATTTAGACTAATGCTTTCCACTGTGTGTTAATGTTATAAATAAATATTGAAGGTTTATAAAATTGTTAGCTCTCCACTCTTCATTAAGGCATCTTGTAGATACAAGAACAGTAGTAGTAAATTTACCAAAAAACGTTCAGACAAACAAAAAAGTTGAGTTCTGTTTGTATTCTTTTTGCCATTTAGCTAGTAGCTACTGATGTGGTTGTTGTAATAAACTGAAAGAATTTATACATTCCTTCCAGATTATTGAACAATGTTTTGTTAATCTTTTGTTGCTCGTTAGCTTGTAACAAGTGGATAAAAATGCTGATCCAGATTTCGAACATGGTGAAGGTTTTCTTTGTTCCAATCTTTTTTTTGTAGGTAAGAATTAACTTTACTAAATATGTGAAAAGTTAACTATGGCAGGCAGATTTAAATAAAAAAAAGAAACACCAAGACGATTGTGGATCAAAAAAAGGATATACAACAATCACAAAAGTACATTATGCCTCACTCCCCATGAATAAGAAAAGATCAATGTTTCACAATCACATCCCAAAAGCCTTTGTGCTGATCTCCTGCATATTCTGGAACTCTTTCAAAGTCAATGTAAGTGTTAGAATGGATGTCTCTACAAATTCAAAGAAGTGATCTTAACTTTGTCAAAAACAAAAAGAAAAAAAAAACTCATGTTCCTTTCCTTCAATAGCCTTCAAAAAAAAAAAAAAAGAATAAATTGTTATCATTCATAAACTTGAATGTTTCTCCTCAAGACTTTTGGTCATTGTTGAATTGTCTGAACAGGAGATGCAGGAAGTTTTCAATCAACCTTGAAGAAGAAAATCAGAGTAACTCCATACATAAGACACCATTTTTTCAATAAAAGTTTATGATCATAAGAACCTTTAGTAGACCCACCAATTAGCCACATAAAAGCTTCCAGTCTTGGAGAATAGGAGATCGTTGAATCATTCCCAGATCTTCACCAGAAACAGCTTTCCCCTTAATGAGTTTATTGCAAAAAGATCTCACTGTGAACATCCTGTTGTTTTAATTTCTTTTCTTTCACCGAAGCTTTTGGATATCATCCATAAAACTCGATTAAGTCAACTCAGCCTGAACTCCAACTATTTAGGATAATCTAAATGAATCACGCCTTGCCATTTTGCTCTATCAAGAGCCATGTTTTCTATCAAATTTGAATAGCAGATGAAAATCCAATATGTACGATTAGGAACCTGTATCTATCCACACTATAGCTTCTCAATGCATTTATCTTTCAGGATGATATAATTTGTTTCTGATGTTATCCAGACTATCTGGTTAGAGTTCCTTATGTTTTGATTTTGATATTCTCAAGATGCTTTTGATCTATGATAGCTGGACCAGAGTATGCTTTATAGAATCAACACTTGTAAAATTTGGTAAATAGTTTATTCTAACATACAATACTGATGCAAAAACTAAAGATCCAAATATGGAATTTTCTGATTCTTAATGCATTTTTTGCTTTCTAGATAGTAGGGTTATTGGCCATTTTATATGTTGTCTGTGTGGTTCTTGAGATCTTAGGCATCCCATTGAGTGATTTTGGGGTTTTCTCTCTTCTTTCTCTATCTATTTCCTCTTTAATGTTGCAATTTGAAAGCAACCATTACAACTATCAAGAGTCATAAGTTCATCAAAAGGCATCAATTCAACAGTCTCAAAGAACTGGAACTGATCTAGGTGAGTTTTCTGTTATTTTTCTGTCCAAACCAAAAGAAGAAATCCCCATTCCATTCATTTTTGTCCTTTGTGCCAAACCATATCTGACTGCTTCCATGTTTGGATACTGCCTATCTATTCACAACCTTTCATCTCCCCAAATTCCACCTGGAATCCAACATTCTATAGTTATCATTTTTACTTTTCACAACCTAGAAGACATACTTGAACCTTACAAACTTGGTCACCATCTACAACTTTCCTTTTCAAAGTTGTCAGTCTTAAGATGAATTTGCAGTTCTTGCAATTAAGCCCCTATACCTTTTCTAAACTAACCAACCTCTACTTGTAGTCCTAAAATCACCCTAAATCAGTCCTAAACCTCCTAGACTCATCCTTCGATCATTTAAGTCCTACATCAATTTGGTATCAAAGCAGCAATCCTACATCAAATACTGTAAACAATCAGTATTTGTTAGAAGCTCAACTAAAAGCAGTAGCTAAGTACTGAGAAACAAAATGTATAAGCACATTAAATGCGGTACCCATACCCATATCCATGTTCCAGACCTCAAAAGACAGAATCTTAGCCCAATTTCCAGTATTCAATTCTGAACCTGATCATCTTAGCTTTCAAGCAGTTAGAATGAACAAGCCATGATACTAGGACTTAAAGAAAAAAGAGCCTTCAACTTCCAATATAACTTCTGGTTTCTGTTGGTCTTCTTCATAACCTCTAATCAAAGAAAATAACATTCTAATGCATGTTTTAACTGTAGTTCTGTGAGACCTTATTTCAGAAACAGCAATAAATTCTGAGCATTTATAGTTTTTCTTGGACCATGCTTTCTGAATGTGTCTACCATATATACTGAATCTGATCGTTGTAGCATACCGTAATTCTTCATCCAAGTATGTAATTTCCAGTTCACCACGAGCCCTTCCGGGTGCCTTAATTGGTATCTGCACACCATAGATGCAACAAAATAAAATAAGCAACAACAGATACAAGTTGAATTTAACGTGAAACTTTTCTACCAATTAGAATTTGGAAATTTTAGTTAAATAGTTTTGTCCCCTATATTCAATAGTTAATGCATATGTATGTAAAAAGTTGAAATATTTGAATGACCATATTTAATTTATTGAGACAAAATAGTTGCATTACAAGATTCCTAAAGAAATAACTGAGCCAAATTGTAGAAATTCCCCTATTTCTCAACTTGTAAGCCTTTTCTAACTACGTGCAGTCAGCCGCATGAATCTTGCTCCTAAAACCCATTGTATATAGGGTGGTGTATTAAGGATGACCATGGCCCAGGCTGGATTGGGATAGGCATCTATTTTCGCCCATATATATTTTAATTTTTATAATCAAAATTACAGAATATATATAATTTGTTATATGCATTTTATTATATTAAAATATCAAAATTTCCAGGCCTGGCTGGACTTACAAATGCGTGCCCAAATGATCAACCCTATTGTTTATGCAGTATAACATGAGACTCAACCATCATGACTATTGTCAAAGTAATTAATATAGCAGACATAAACATCGAGAATTTACATTCAACAAATATGCTTCAGTAAGAGGAATCACTAACCAGACCAACAATTTTGAACTTATCAAATTTAACAGCCACCTTTCTTGCATTGAGAGGGGTTAAGTCTGCTGTTACCTGTAAAAACATTGATCTCAACTTGTAAATGGAAAATATTAGGCTGAGACTTTGAGGGAAAGAGAAAAGAACTTAAACCATCATCATTCTTTTCCTTTTTAACTTCCAAAAAAATATTTGTTGAAATGACCTAGTTCTGACCTAGCATGCAACATTTGAAGATGAAATACAATTTCACAAAGATAAAAAAATTCATCTCAACCTGAAATGTTCCAAGAAACACTTGGACTTAAGTGGGGAAAAATTTTATAGGAGACTTAAATGGGCACGTAGGGAAAAGAAGTGTAGGATATGATATGGTGCATAGAGGATTTAGGTTTTGGGAGAGGAATGAATTAGGAGGTGCAATACTAGATCTTGCATAGCTTATGATATAGCAATTTTAAACACCTTTTTCCAAAAAAATGATAGACACTTCATTACATTTTAAAGTGGGTCAAACATAAGTCAAATAGATTTTTTCCTTACGAGGCGAATAGAACAAATGACGTGTAAAGATTGCAAAGTCATTCAGAGAGAAAACTTGACAACACAACATAGACTAGTGGTGGTAGATGTGCACATTAGGAAATGAAAGAGAAGTAGGGAAGAAATAGGTGTCCAAGAATTATGTGAGAAAACCTGAAAGGGGAAAGCTAGCTCAATTTAGAAACAGATGAGAACAGAGGCGAATTGGAATTTAGATGGAAAGATCAGTGGTATTTGAGCTGAAATAGCAAAAAATATAAAGAAAGTAGCAATGAATGTCTTAGGAGAATATGAAGAGAAGTGGCAAGGTACTAAAGAAACTTGGTGGTGGAATGAAGAGATTCAAAATATAATTAGACTAATACAAGCACACTACAAAGAATGGCAAAAAACTAGAAATGTAGAAAATTGGGAAAAATATAAAATCATAAGAAAGGAAGTTAAAAAGAAAGTGAATGAAATAAAAAATAAGGCTTATGATGAGTTTTACCATAAATTAGACACTAAAAAGGGAGAAGTCCAACAGTTATTAGAAAACTGAACTGCACTCCTCAGTCATTGGTTTACTGGCTTCAAAATTTAATAGAACAAAGCTATTTATAGAGATGCAAGGCTCTCTTTACAAAGAAATGGTAATCCTAACTTGCCAATCAAACAACCTAATAAGACAAAGAAACAAAAACAAAATAGGAAAACATAAAATATCTCCTGAGCATTTTCTGGAATATTTTCTTGTTGTCATCTTCTTATTCAGGCTTAGAGTATTGGACTGTGGGCCAAGTTTAAAGTCCATTAGCCTTAAGTGATGGGACTGGTTCCAAAGAGATAGTAGTGCCTGCCCAATCAAACCGGATGATTCTGGCATAGGCTTGTATCACCTATTTAAAACCTCAGAAGAAAATGTATAAAGTTACTTCTCAAGAAAAATCAGATGTGAAATGGAGCAAAAAAGTTTCAAAATGTAATTCAAACTTGACACTCTAGAACCTCTTCTGTTAAACCATGTCACAAGTATGTTTTAAGTTTTCCTTCAAGTCCTTTATGATTTGATGCCAATAGCAACACTATTTACATAGAAACCTTGGAGTTTAGTCCGCGTCTATGGATGTTATACGAGCAATCTGTTTCATGTGCTATTAGATTTTTTTTTTCTTGAGAATGGTAAAGTATTCTATGTACTTCTGTACCAAAGATTCTATGCACCAGAATCCATGTAAACTAAGGTTCTGTACAAAATAACAGGTTGTACAAGTACAATGTTTACAAGTTAGTTTGATCCAAAAAAGATTCAAAACTAAACTAAGAAAGTAAGGTACAGGCCTGAAAAGTTGCTGCAGCAATAGCCGGACTGAGAGTACCCACTACTCTCAGGTTATCAAGCTTGTTATAAAGCAGTATACTGGATTTCCTTTGATTATATAACAGCTATTTTCCAGGCTATTAGTGTTTAGCTAACTATTCCTCCAGATTATTAGTGTGTTAACTCTTTGTTTAATCTACACCAAAGATATTTTGGAAACAGATAACAATTTAAGGAACATAGATCATATCAAATCATATAAAGATCAAGTTAAATATTATCTCTAAAACATCCAAATTATATTCCCCGGTCTATTGTCCAAGGCAATACAGAGCATAAAAAAGCATGTTCACATAAAATTCGTTGAGGATAGGCAAAAAGAGGGGATTTCATCTACTCCCAGAGCTCMATGATTAAGATTAGGAAAACTCATGTTGTTGATGCTTCAATTAAGAGAAAGAAGAAAGTTATACAAAACTAAATAAATAAAAAGGAAGCATTACTCAGAAACACCACCTGATTGAAAAATGGCCAAGATTCCATGTTTTGGGCCCTCAATGTATCCACATTAATTGCCTGGTAGTTTACACGTGATCTTAATAATTTTGGTCTCTGCCACAATATGACTAAGTGAGTAGCATATTTTTACATGAATTATTGGAAAGCAAGAGAAAATCAAACAGGACCTAATGGTATATTTTATACATGCTAAAAAGAGGCTAACAAATGTGGAACATGATGAAGTAACTTTATAATGTTTATGAAGTCTTTAAAGCAAACCATGTGTATTCTTCAGAAAGTTAACGATATGAAATAGAGAGAAAACAGCAAATTGATTGAACATACTGGATTGCAAGGGAAGTGCACATATCATATTTTATATTTATAAATCAAAAAGAAAATCAATTAGGACCATTATGTGTCAAGGGATTGAATATCTGCATCCCAAAAAGAGAGGAGTTATAAGGATCCAAAAGAATGACATGGAAACATATGTGAAAGGGATCTCATTTATGTCTGAATCAAAGGCCAATTTGGTATTCATCTTATTGACAACATGCTTATAAGTACATGTCCCCCATTTCCCATCCTCCCCTGGGATTAAGACAGCAGAGATAATATAAGGAATCATATTTTAATAAAACCCCCATTATAAACTCCAAATCATACCTCTATTGATAATATTCACTAAACCAATACATATGTTGTCCACTTTGTCAAACAGAACCATGAATGAATTTTGTTTAGCCAGTACTCTCATGAACGGTTATATCTACCAGTTCAACTAAGTTAGCATGAATAATTTCGTTCTTTTGATCTTCTCTTTTAATTGCAACAAGAAAAGTTCTATCCAACCATATGGGACTAGTTACACGAATTTTTTTTCAATACTATATTAAGGGCCATATTCTTTGATAGACTGTGAGACCTCAAATCAATTGCCATTACCTTCTTCCTTTGTCCTTTTTGGCCTGGTCCTAGCTCTTCTAAAACCATCAATTTGCATAAGATTAGGGACTTTTTTCTAATGCTCCAATTTATGCATATCTAACCTTCTTCTAGTTTCCCTCATTTCATGACCTATTGGAGTTCCTCCCAAGTTCTCACAAGTATACTCGTTTTAATCCTATTCTTTCTAGTTTTGCCTCTCATCCAGAAGAAATTCTTCATGTCCACTCATTTGAATATCTAGCTTGTTTATTGTCAAACACTGTTTCATAAAACATTGCTGGCATTGAATTCTTCCTCTTTAATAACCAGAGTATATTGCTCCAACGTTTTTGTCCTATGTCCTATTATTCCACCATTGTCCTCATCAGATATGATCGCACTCTCCCTCATTAATAAGAATATCAGTATGGATGCATTCATGAGCAATATGGCACAAACCCAAATCACAAGTAGTACTAACAAAACTTTTCGAACAGGGGAGGAAAAGATGTGCTTAGGAAATTGAACTCAATTCCTGAAGTGGACTATATGCACTGTCATTTTACAATTTCTTGTTATGTGAACAAAACAAGGAAATCAACTTTCTTAGTATCTTGTCTGACAAGCAACATATAACCCAATTCCTGATAGGACTTTCCATAGTTTTTTTTAATATTAAAAAAAAGAGAGGCAATACCATCATTCATACCTGGGTTTGCAAAATTGATTTTGAAGTAGTATATATAAGCTCCCATTTTCCATTCAGCAAATCAGATTTAAGTGGCTGCTTTGTTGGATTAACAGCTTCTAGTTTGCGCGCAATCTAATAAACATTCAGTGGAGAAAAATCAGGAACTAAAATTTGACTATTCGAAATATCCCAAGTTCTGATTCTTGTAAATTTGCGCATCTTATCCTGAAGCGAGAGAGAGAGAGAGAGAGAGAGAGAGAGAGAGTAAAGTTCACCTGATCGATTTGCTCTAGGTCTTCAGGAGTGGCCTCGGCGCCTCGGTCGAGAGGAGCAATGGCCTCTAGGAGCTCCTCCTTGAGGGCCGTAGCGTCCTTTGCTTTCTTGAAGAAAGAAGGAAGAAAAGAAACCCTGGTTCTCCATTTCGAATCACCCGTAGCGATTGACAGCTTCTTGATGCTGCCATCGTTGCTGGGTCTGGCTGGGAAACTCAAGGAGATGAGTGAAGAGTAAGATCTGGGTCCTGTAAAAAGAGCGGCGGTGGAGCGAATGTTGATCGCAGTAGCTTCTGTAGCAGAAGATAAGGCCATGGAGAGGATGACGGAATTGTGGGGAGCTGCAACTGAGACACTAATTGGGTTGATCGATAATGTGTCGCCACATCTTGACCCTACAATTAATAAGAAATGTTTCTAAAAACTGTATGCCAAACACAACCAGAATCAGTATGATTCTTAGATTTGCCAAGTGTGTATAACTGTCAGCGTTGACGGGAATTACTGAGTTAGTTGGTAGTTAATGAATTGGGATTTTTTCCCTGGATAGTGTAAACGCTCCAAGTTACTTGCAACGTGGCAGGTAGCCGTTGGATAGGTCCGACGCTTCCACTTTCCACAGCTTTTCTTACACTAAAAATTGGCCTTAGCGTTAGTTATTTCCAAACTACAATTCAACAAATCAGATGGCTGAAAATAGTCAGATCTCTACTTTGTTTTCTGGGATTGGGACCCGGTTGATGCATTGATGGTGGTACGACTGGTGGATATACTCCCGATATGAGACACGGCCACACGGGGTAGTTGCTGGCACTCGATAGAGCCCAAAATAAATTAATAGTTTTTTTGGATAAATTTCTTAAACCACCCTTATGATTTAGTTCATTACTCTTATTGTTTGAAAATTGATTAAGGTTCTTATTTTTTCTAAAAATTACCTAAAACTTTTCCATCCGTAACATTCCGTCTAAACGATCGTTATATTTTTTAAAAATCTCTAATATACTCTTTTATGGTCGAAAACTTCCCAAACCCTTCAAATGCGTAGTAGTACTGCAGAGGTTTTTCCGACCAAGCCCATTTCCGAACCTCATCACCGACTGCTGTTTTCGATCTGTAAGCACCTCACCGACTGAACCTGAGATGAGGTAGGCGAGGTGGGGGAGGGAGGGTTTGGCGGCAACAACTGCTATGTTGTAGTATCTCATCACCGACAACTATAAGCACCTCACCGACTGAACCAGAGATGTAGCAGCGAAGTGAGGTGGGGCAGGGAGGGTTTGGCGGCGACAACTGCTGTGTTGTAGTATCTCAATACCGGTGACAACTGTAAGCACCTCACCGACTGAACCAGAGATGTAGCGGCGAGGTGAGGTGGGGGAGGGAGGGTTTGGTGACTACAGCTGCTGTGTTGTAGTACCTCATCACCGGCGAAAACTGTAAGCACCTAATTGACTGAACCGGAGATGCAGCGGCGAGGTGAGGTGGGGAGCTCGCAATCGAACAGGGACTTCTCTCTTCGCCTTCTCCGCAATCAAACAAGTCGAACAGGGATTTCTCTCTCCTCTTCGCCTTCTCTACAATCGAACAAAACCAAACAACTCTGCTAGGCTTCATCTTTCTCTCTCCTCTTACTCGTCTTCTCTACAATCGAATAAACCAAACAGGGCTCTCTCTCCTCTTCTTCGTCTTCCATGCAATCGAACCGTTGTCCCCTGTCCTAAAACGAACCCTCTTCTTCATCTTCTTTGAAATTAAGCATCTATGAACCCGGTTACTCATCGTCTTTCTTGCAATCAAACCCTATTCTTCGTCTTCGTTTTCTTGGTCACCGCCGCTGCAACTCCTAGCAGCGGCATCGTCTTGAATCCAAGACCCTGACCACAGAGTGACTACGTCTCTCTCTCTCCTCCTGCTTCTTTGAAGATGCCAGATGATTACAAGTTCTCTGGCCAGGGTCAGAGTGAGAGGGGTTAGGCAACTTTCAGGGGTGGTGCGATTTTGTCAGTGGCTCTCCTTTCTCGGACACTAGTGGCTGAGAAGGAAACCTTAATGGAGGAGCTTCGACTTTGATTTAAGGGCAAAATGGATATTTCAACCCTTCTATCAATATTTTAACGGTAACGGTAATTTTCAGAAATAGTAAGAATAGCCTTAGTCAATTAAGATGCACTTAATATTCTATTTTAATTTGGTCTACATATTAATTCCCACCTAATATTGTTACCCATAGTTTGCCACCAAACGTTTTTCTGAACTTGATCCACAATGCCCGAAGGGAGTAACTAACAAGGTTTGCATTGTGTAATTGAAGACTTGGTAGGTGTTTGGTACTATGGCCATTTTTAGTGAGATTATTGAAAACGGCCACGAAATGGCTTATTGTTTGTTTGGCAACGTTGCTGTTACGTAAGATGAATTGGCAATAGTTTCACCTACATTTTATTTGGTTGAGATCATTTTCCCAGGTGTGTTACCTTAATTCAATGTAAGTATGAGTCCTGATGAAATGTACCACCTAGCATGCAATTACTATTTGTCTGTTTGATACTTTGGCCACTTATTGTATACTGTATTAGCATGAGTTTAATTGATTATCGTTTGTGAAACCCATTATGGATGATTCCTCTGATGTCTTTCCCACAGTGCATTAGCAATCTTTAAGTTTCGATGCATTCCCGTTTTTTTTCGTTTTCCTCTAAAAACGGTGCAACCAAATAGGTTTTTCGACCGTCAGACCCCAAAATCTCATGTGGCAGTTACATGGACTCAAAATGGCCATGCAACGCCTCGATACCAAACAATGCCTTAATGAGAGTCGTACGACCCGCTTCCACTTGAGAGAGTGTTTTCGCTTGCCAAGCATCCAGCTTACCTTCTATTTTAGCGATTAACTCCTTATTAGTGAGAGAGATACTTTCCTATCATCTTTACGCCAAGCACCCAAGTACTTGGATTTATGACTCATTGTCTTCGTACCTAACACCTTACAGTAATTTCTTATGTACTCTGTGTGTGTTCTTGTTGAACATTACACCCGATTTGTTGAGATTAACATGTTAGACTAAAAATTTATTCAAACTGACAGAGAGTAACCCTAACACTGTAAAAAGATTTGGGCTCAGCTTTGCAGAAAAGGTGGCAATCATCTACGAATAGTAAGTGTGTGAGGGGTTCTGCTTCGCGATTTAACTTAACACCCTATAGGCATCGTTGGGCCTCTTCTTTATTTAAAAGACCTGACAAAGCTTGCATACATGCAATAAAAAGATAAGGGGAAAGGGGATCACCCTACGGTAAATACTTCATATGCAGTACCATTTAACTTGACTGAGAATGAAGATGTAGAAATGCACTCCCAAACTAGGTCACAACAGTGATCAGGGAATCCCATCTTTCTTAATACCTCGACAATGAACCGTCACCCTGTTCTGTCATAAGCTTTTTCCATATCAATTTTGAGYACTACCCATTTTCCTTTCCCTTTTTGAATATTCAGTTTGTGAATTATTTCTTTTGCAAGAATCGCATTATTAATGATATTTCTGCTTGTAATAAAGGCTGCTTGATTTTGCTGAATTAGACCCTTAAGAAGTGGTTTCATGTTTGCTAGGACTTTGGCTAGGACCTTATATAAAACATTATTCAACAAGTGGTTTCATGCCCATTTTGACAATGAACCTTGTGCAAATAAGTTTTTTGTTTTTATTTTTTATAACCCAATAAGAGTTTAATTACCTAGCCGAGATCAGCTAAGAACAATATTTTTCGTCATACTTAAATGTTTAAGAATGTTTTTCTATTTCTGTTTTTCTTCATTAGTATAAAGCAAATTGTTTTTGACAATTATACTTGGATCCTGTTTGAGATTTTTACACCTTAGACTATATTTGGCTTGATGGAGAAAAATAGAGAAACAAAAAACTGAGCCAATGTTCTTAACGAACTTCACAAAACCTGTTAAGAATATCCACTCAACTCTTCGTCTCTATTTCTTTGTATCAAACTAAATTTATTGCCTTAGAGCCACCAACAAAAGAAAGTGAAAAAGAAAAAGGCACACACACAAGTTTTTACATGGTTCACTCTAAAAAGGTGTGAATGGGGGGAGGGGGGGGGCATTGTACAAATCCTAGTTCTGCAAGTATTGTTCATCCCATCTTTGATTTATTGTTGGTTGTGGTTATAGACCATGTGGTAGTAGCTGTTGTAGTTGCTCAGCACCAAATACTCAAGAATCACATCATCATCATTTGCTTGCTAACTTGATTGCAATGTTGTCTCCATTAGTTGTGGTTGTGGGTGTGGTAGTAGTGGCTCCTGGTGCTACTGCTAGTGGTAAAACACCCCATCGAAATAGATATATATGTTGCTGTATAAGACCTACACCATCGTCTTCATGTTGTGGTTGCGGTAGTAGTGGCTCCTATTGTACTGATAATGGCAAAACACTACATCAAAGTAGATATGCTCCTGCATAAGACCTACACCAACTTCTTCATGTTGTGGTTGTGGTAGCTTGTACTACTATTGTTGTTCTTCAATGCCTCCATTGGGATTAGCTAAATATATAACCTTGTTGATCATAGAAAAGAGATTTTTAGACCATTTCCACTAGTTCATTGATTTCATCATGTCCCTTTGGCAATATCACTGCATCTGCAATGTCGTTGGGACCTTGTTGATTATATTGGTGGGGGGGGGGGGGTCCTTGTCCTCCACCCCCCAAATTCTTGTCAAAACCATTATTTATATATGATTATTAAGTGGAAGCTTGATAAAAAATGTATTAAAGTAGATCTTTGCCCCCCTCTCCCCCCAAATCAACTAAAATGTAAAGGATCACTCTCTCTAATGTTCCTTTAACTCTCAAAATAAAAAAAAATATTTTTCTTTAAAAAATATTGTAATAAACCCAAACATTCTCAAGCCACTGGGAATGCAAATGCATCATTGATATTTCTATAGTCTCCAACCATGATTCCTCATCCTCTTTGTCCTTCATCTATATTATCATCTTCTTTCTTATTCTCTTTAATTCTACAAAGGACCAATTGTTGGAACTTGCTACCCACTTATCCATCACCTTCTTATAATATTTTGTGAGTAGTCTCCCACAGACTATTGCTCAGATCGAATGGTTTAATGGTTTGACTACCCGGATCAACGATTCTTTGACAATTTCAACAGTTTTTTTTTAAATAACGGTTTAGTCCAAAATCAGACTTGAAGCCCTGACCGGTTCTTGGGTTGAATGGTATGACCGTCCAGTATGGTCCAGTTTTCAAATTAAACAATGCTTTCCACCTACCTCCTTCCTCAACAGGATAAGTTACCACAATATTTGGTTGTGATGCATTTTCTGATTTCTTCTATCTTGGAACGAAGTAATATCTTTCATTTATCAAACCACTAT